GAAGTAGAGGGAATGAGCATGAGGAGGCCATTATTGCAGTCCGAGATATAACAGACTGCACCTTGGGCATAGGAAGGGCCAAAACTAAGAGGAAGGGCCTAGAAAAGGGTTTAACGATCACTGGACACTTGGCATGCTAAGAAAAAAGAAAGAAAATAAAATAAAATGTGGGAGAATAAGACAAAAATAGTGAGAGGGAGTGAGTGAGTTGGCCGTCAGTAGGGACTGCCACAAGGAGGGACTGGTAGGTCCCTACTGTCCAAGAAAAGAGGAAAAGAAAAGAAAAAGAAAGAGAAAAGAAAAGAAAAGAGAAAAAGGCCTTAACGGTACAAAACGGCCACTTAGGGAGATGCATCCGTGACCAGATACATTTTGGAATATGGCGGTTGCAAAGAATCTTGATTTTCTCTTGATTTTGCAGAGAAAATCAAGAAAAATCAAGGCCCCATGCAACCGAAATACAACGGATTACATGGGGGAGGAGAAACATATGTTTTAGGTGCATCCGGAGCCAAAATTGAGCCCGACTGCACTTGAAAGTTGGTCGTTTCTTATTCTTTCAATAGAGGGCTAGTTGTGGGGCATTGCGGCTAGGGAATTGGCCCCTATTGCAGTCCGAGTTGCAACGGACTACATGGGAAGGCAAAACACATGTTTTAAGTGCATCCGGAGCCAATATTGAGCCCGGATGCACTTCGGAATCAAACGCTTCATTTTCTTCTAGTATGGGGCAAGTTGTAGGGTTGTGGGACTAGGGAAATGGCCATGATTGCAGTCTGAGAAATAACGGACTGCATGAGGATGCCTAGGCTAAGGGCAAATAAGCCACGGCAAGCCCAAACGGCTAGAAAGAAGTGATTTCGGCATGGGGCAAGTAGAGACGGTAAACGGCAACCGTGAGATGAGATCTCACGCCAAGAAAAATTGGCACACATGTGGCACCTAAGGAAGAGATATTTGAACCACTAATGGCAAGGAGGTCCCCAAAAAAAAATGGGACACCGTCCGGGATGTTGTCGACGACCAAGTGGGCCCAAATACTAATAGTCGAAAAACGGGACACGCACCGGCGGAACTACCGCTGGGAAAAAAAAACGGAACTAGTACGGAGGAAAGTGGCGGGGAATTGAGATGTCCCAAGGGAACCATGAGCCAACACAAGAAATAATCGCACAAGCAAATGGCACCGTCGGGGTCGAGGATTTAGACAGTGGAAAATATTAGCGCCACTAGTGCAAGCACTAGTGGGGACAAGTGAGAGAGTCATGAGAGAAAAGAGAGTGAAATAATGGTGTTGGTAGGGCTGCCCAGCAGTCCGAGATATCCCGGACTAGCTAGGCATGAGAAAATAGGGTAGGGCTGCCCAGAAGTCCGAGTTATCCCGGACTAGCTAGGCATGAAAAAATAGAGTCTCATGGGGCTCAACATGGGAAAAAGGTTGTCCAAAAAAAATCGGAGCAAAGGGGGCTCAAAATTGGGACTAACAGAGACAAAATGGAGCCCCCTAGGGGCATGGGGGTACCATTATTGAAATCCGAGATATAATGGTCAACTGCTGAGTCTGAATCTGGCCATGGATGAGGATCCATGGCCTAGAAAAAGACTCAACAACTAGTTGACACTTATCGCGTCAAAAATAAAAGAAAAAGAAAAGAAAATGAGAGAAAATGGAGGGAGAATGAGACAAAAGGGGAGAAAAGAGTGGAGGAGAGTGTGCCGGTCTATTGGGACCTACATAGTAGGGACTGGTAGGTCCGTACTATGACCTCATCCCTCCTAGAATGGGGGAGTGCAATCCGGATTGCAGAGATATGGCCCGCGGGGCCATATCTCCACAAAATCTGAATTAAAAAGAGAAAAATAAGAGAAAATGCAAAGGGGAGACGACCGTTTTTTTTGTGGACCATGGATCTAAGATCAGATCTCATGCTGGAGAGAAACTAGCCGTTTTTTGTGAGCCAGCCCAAAACGGTAGCTCCGGAATGAGGTAGCAACCCAAAATGGAAAGAAACAAAAGAGGGAAAGAGACAAAAGTGTGCATTTGGCCCAAAAAGAGAGTTAGATGCACCTTAAGTTGAAAAATTGAACTTAGGGGCCCAAATTTGAAGCAAGGGCTACTTGGGGGTAGCTCGAAATATTGTTGGCCTTGGATCTCAGCCAGATCCAAGGCTGAAACTGCACTGAGGCATGGGAAAATACCTCGGCCTACCAAAAATGGGATAGAAACTGAAAAAATCGAGAAAAAGGCCCACTAGGCCTTTTTCTCTCAAGTGAGGCTGCCCCTTGGGCATTAGGACCCAAGGGGGCAGCATTTTGGAAATGAAAAGGAGGCTGAAGGAGACCAAGAGGCAATCCGAGTTGGTACCAATCACTCAGACTGCATGTACTTGGCCAAAATGAGGTCCGGGTACGGAATTTTGCCTTAGGGGTACCTCGGTTCACCTCAAGGCACATGGGGAGGCCCATGGGTTGGCCGGAGTGCTGGTTTCAGCCTACATAAGCTGAGGATTCAGTCCGCTACACTCACATTTGCATGAGGAGTGCCCATGCTGCCCAAGTGAGCTCATAGGAGCACTTTCTGACTTGGAGAGAGGAGAGGGGAACCCCTACCAGTTGGAGAGCTTAGAGGAGACTGTGAGCAAGGAGAGAGAGCTCTAGAGGTTAGTGGAGATGAGGCTGACCTAGGGAGGTGATCCGCCATAGCCCCCCAGGGTGTGAGGAAGAGAGAGAGGCTAGAGGGAGTCTCATTAGGCCTTCTAGAAGAGAGGACTCCATAGCCATAGTGGGAGAAGCTTGCCATAGCTTGGGTGGAGTTGAGAGAGGAAGGAGAGAGGGGCTTGAGGAAGAAGGAAGCCATAGCCAAGGTGGTACTTGTGCAGGAGAGAAAAAGGCTCATCAAGATTGTGGCTCCATCTCCAAGACATCAAGAAGGTGAGTGGAAAGGAGGAGACTCTTCTCCCTCTTCTTCTTCTTCTCCTTCTTCTTCTTCTCCTCCTTCTTCATCTTCTTCTTCTTCTTCTTCTTCTTCTTCTTCTTCTTCTTTATTTCTCCTCCTCCATCCTTCCTCCTCTCCTTCTCCATCATCTCTTTCTCCTTGTTCTTTCTCTTCTTCTTCTTCTTCTTCTTCTTTTTCCTCCTCTTCCCTTCTTCTTCTTCTCCTTCTTCTTCTCCTTCTTCTTCATCCTTCTTCTTCTCCTTTTTCCTCTTCTCCTTCTTCTTCTTCTCCTTCTCCTTCTTCTTCTCCTTCTCTTCTTCTTCTTCTCCCTCCTCTTCTTCCTTTTCTTCTTCTTCTTCTCCTTCTTCTTCATCTCTTTCTCTTTCTTCCTCCTCTTTTTCTTTTTTTTCTTCTCCTTCTCCTTCCTAGAGGCTAGTCTAACTCATGCTTTTTACTCACATAGTAGTAGGTGAAGTCCCGTGGATAATCTTATGCTCAAATCTTGTGTTTTGATCTTACCTAGCTCATACTTTTCACTCACATAGTAGTAGGTGAAGTTTCGATTCTTCCTTGAATGATCTCATGTTCCAATCTTGTGTTTTGATCTTGTCTAGCTCAAGCTTTTCACTCACATAGTAGTAGGTCAGTCGTGGCTCCTCCTATAGAGGGATAGTTGGGACTAGAAAAGAGAAATGAAAACACGAAGGCCAAGGGAGGCAGTAGGTGGGCAGATTCTGAAGATTGGATGTAACCCTTTCTATATGGACTATGCAGGGAATCACCAAGGTAACAATGGCAGCAAGACGTGAGCGAATGGAACGCCAGCCCCGTGTGCGAATGGAACGCCAGCCCCGGTACCCCGGACCGCCCTGGAACAACGGTGGACGATGGGAAGTATCCCTCCCGTCGAGTTCTACCTATCGGGGGTTCGACATAGAATGGCGGGTCGTGACTTAGGGAAGGGACGCCGCCTTCATGTTGGTAGAATGTCGGTGGACAGGGATGAGACTCAACCGAGGACCCGGGGACGATCTGTTTTCAATCTAGAAGTTACCGGGACCATGTATCTGCCTGAGATCGGCTGACACTCGTTGGGGGTAGAGATAGCACAAGGTCACGAGCTGGCGCCGGTCTTTCGAAGGGCCGCCCGGACGTTGACCCGAATAGGACAATCGGTCAGGGGAAGAAGGAACGTGGGCTTGCTAACCCGGATGGAAATGGGAGGTTGGAGGGAGTTCAGGGCACCGACCACACCGCTGAGATGCCGAGTGCCCCGTTTTATGATAGACCTCGTCTTCGGAAGCCTCGCAAGGGCGCGGGAGCTGGCAGACTCAGCGATAGTCTGGGCAGGCCACTTTCCCTCCCCTACCATTGGGATGTTCTACGATGTCGCTGTGGAGCACGGGCCGTTCTGGGGAAACAGGGCCCACGAATTACTAGAAGTCATCCACATCCTGATGTTTTATGCGCCCCGGCTAGACTGGACAGGGTGCGAACGCATAATCCAAAGGGAAATCGAGATAGGGGAGAATTATCTAACGGGGGTGGCTCAACTATTCGAGGAGCCTACCGAACCAGGAGAGCCGCGAGGGTGAGAGCAGGATTAGCATCCGCAGGCGGGTCAATAGGGCAGATCGAGTATAGTTCGCTGCGTACGGAAGTTCGCCGATGGGAATAAGAAAGGGGCCTCGGACCTGGATGGCTAAAACCCACTAGAAAAACAAAGAAGGGGGGGGGCAGACTCCTAATGATTGACCATAACCCTGAAGGTCAAAAACGGGAAACGCTGCTCGGGAAGACTTCCCCTAGCAGGAAGCCTAACCCGGACTCCCTCGCGTCGGCCGACGAGACAAGGGCACTACAAACAAGCCTGTGATAAAGGAAGCCCAGTCACGTTCATAGCTCGGCTGGGCGGCAGGGCCAGTCGTGGCTCCTCCTTAAGGAAGGGCAATCAGGAAACAGGGATAGGAAAGGAGGCTATAAAGATAAGCCAACAGAGCTGGGAGCCTAGGGAACCTAAATACCTCGCATTGCGTGTGTCCTGGGAATTCTTTGGCTTATGCAGAACTAGGCAAAATGGCAACGGAGGAGGAGACAGATAACCGTAAGAGTGAAGGAGAACCAAGCTTAGAAGGCAGTGCCGCGCAAAGCGAAGGGGGGCAGAAGGACAAAGAATCGATAAATCCGGATGGTACCAAAGGGAACCGGAAGGAAATCTCCACAGGGGAAAGCTCGGGGAAAGTCGGGGGAAGCAGGCAAGGGACCCAGGGGACCAAGGAAGGCAGAAATAAGGATAGGACAAGCCCCCGAAACTCGGAAGGAGCCATGCCCAAGGAAGTAAGGATCACGGATACGAGGCGCAGACTAGCCGAGATAGACAAGAGGACCGCGGAATACAAGGCAAGATTGATTGAGGAAATGATGACTGGGAACGAGGAAGGTCCTCTGCAGGAGGAACCCCGGGACGAACAGAAAACCTGCCAAGGTGGGACTGGACAAGGGGATAAAGGTAGTGACCGTGGGGGAACGTCGAGCAAGAGAAGGAAAGAGAGAGAGAACTCTCCGGGGATGGAAGCAGAAAAGGCTACGACTCCGCCAGCCATGGATAGTAGGGCTAGCTGCCTGCCGATCACGCCGGCAGTAGCACGAGGATGCGAAGGACTTTGGAGCCTTAGGGAAAGAGTGTTGGGATGGTTTGACCCGGAAGGAACTATGAAAACCAGGGAGGGACAGAAGGCCGGCAAGGAAAGTCCGGATAATAGTATGGCAGGCGAGGCCAGCAGCTCCGAGGGCGGCCTTAAGAAGATAGTGTCGTCCCTCGCGCGAGCACTAAACAAAAATCAAGGCTATCTAGCGGACGCCAAGAAAAAGCTGACTTTCGATGGAGCAAACATCACGGAGTTTCTGATCGACTACGAGAACCTAGCTGCGTTACTAAAGTGGACCGAGGAGGAAAAGATGGACCACCTAGGACAACATGTGTCGTTAAGCCTAGGACGGGACATAATGGCCATTGTAGCCGCAAGCCGATCTTGGAAGGAGACCCGGGATGTGATGATGAGGAAGTACCTAGCGGCAGAGAAAATGGCAACGGAGGCCGACCTAGCGGCAGTTCAGAGGAAGAACTTCGCAACGTACAATGATTTTCTAAGGGAATTTACTCTAGTAGCACTAAGGATCCCTGGGGTTACGAACCGGATAATGAGCAAATATTTCCTCAGGCAGTTCTCCGAGTTCGACAAAGACAAAATCCTGTCAGCTTACCAACAGACGAGCAAGTTCGTAAACACGCGGGATGTTGATTTTAGCACAGTAACGGATCTGGATGAGAAAACGGTAGTAACAGAGACGTTGGCCTTGCTCAAGGAAGGAGAGATCATAGATCTGACCGGTAGGACGGGCGACAAGGTAAAGAAGGGGATTGAAAGTCTACATGAACGGGTGCACGGGGTCGACAATAAGATTGAAAGGATGGAAGGCGCGCTACTGGTTATGCAGGCGCAAGTATCCCGACCTGCCCTCCCTCCCCAGGAAGCTGTGGTTCTGCCAGGTGTAGCAAACCGGGGATTCGGACGGAGAGATCCTGCTAACGAGCAATGCAAGTACTGTACCGTGATAGGACATTATGTGCGCGCGTGCCCAAAGCTCAACCATGATATTCTGAAAAGAAGGTGTACGAGGTCATTAAAGGGGGAGATATTTGGACCACAAGGGGAACGGGTGAACTGGAACTCGCCAGGAGGGATGCGGCGAGCCATTATCATGCTCAACGGATTAGAGATAACGACAGTAGAAGCGGAGCCGGTGGTCGATATCGTTTGGGATCAACAGCGGGGCCGTGGGCCGCAGGTCAACTTTATTTTGGAAAGCGATGAACGTGATAGGGTAAACGCGACCACTCGACTAGGAATGACTGGGAGAAGGATAAACTGTGACACCATTATGGAGGAGGTCGCCGGAAGCTCCGGACTCCAGGCAGAGCCTGAGGCCGAGGAACCCGAGAAAGTCTATGGGAAGCCTAGGGAAGAGGAGCCTGCGGACAAGGTTATCGCTGCTAAGAAGAAGTTTTGATATCAAATCCCGATCTTAAACTCGCCTGAGATCGACGACACCATTAGCAAGTTGCTAGGAACCATGGTGTCGGTGTCTTTCCAGACCATGCTGCAAGTTAAACCTAGGTTGCTCAAGCTTAGACAACTGTTGACTCGGAGGCGAGTAGAAATAGACGACAACCCCGAGTTACCGGGGGGGGAGAAGGAGGAGGAAGCTCCGCAAGAAGTGGCTAACCTTCAGAGGAGTCGCGGGGACTTGGAGGATCTCGAAAAAGCTTTTGCAGACATCCGCTTAAGCTTGCCCAACCGAGAGGGCGGCGAAGTCATGAGGTCACCACCCGGGACAAAGCTTAGCTTTCATGCACTGCCCGTAGGAAAGCTGAAAGTCCAGATCGGGGGTCATCATACTGACGCATTAGTAGACTGGGGAGCGGAAATCACTCTCATAAGAAGAGACTTCGCGACGATCACGGGATGTACGGTAAACAAGGAAGTAACAGGGAGCATCCGGGGAGCTGGCAGGGAAATCCCGTTCGCTGGGTACGTCACGAAGTGCGCTGTGAAGGCAGGAGTCAGGGAATCAATTTGGTCATTTCAGCGGTTGACCGTAATGGAGGAAATGGATCACGACATAATCCTCGGGAGGCCGTGGTGCGCGAACGTAGAGATGATAGGCATGCACTTGTACGATGGCTCATACATGATAGACATAGAGGATCCCGTGACCGGCCAGGGAGAGCTCCTTCGACTCCTTGGAACGGGAAGAGATGATCCCCCGAAGGGAAAATTGGCAACATGGTCGCCGTCGTTCGAGGATAGCACGCGAAAAGGGGCTTTCGCATGGATGCAGGGCATGAGAGAAAGGGTGGAAATCATGATTGAGGAAGCATTCAACAAGAAGGAATGGATCAAGATGGGCCTGCCCCAGAAGAAGAGGAGGCAGGAGGACGAAGTCCTAGGAGTTATGGTAGCAGAAAAGGAGTCAGAAGTCGAACTTAGTGCTAGCCTGCCCAAGCAAAAAGAAGTACGCATAGACGTGCCAGAAGTCGCACTCGAGATCCCCGATCTGTTACAACTCATCAAGGCCCTCAGATAGCACAAGGTAGGGGTGGACTCAGCGGCCTTGGCCAAGTTCGAAGGAGAGGTGCAAAGGGGGTATTGCAGGAATGGGAAACTAGTTAGTATTCAACCAGGAGTCGTAGAGGCGACGAGGGCGATTCTGACCGTTCATTTTTTAGGAGAAAGATCCCGGAAGGAAGTGTTCGAAAGTACAAGCCGGTAGGGAAGAAAGCAAAACCGGTCTCGATCCTGCTAGAGACATCAAAGGAAGAGGCTATGGAAAAGGAGGAAGAGGTCCTTCGAGTGATCCAAGAAAGCAGGGCGACAGAGGGACATCGGATACCAGATGAGGTAGCTGACACGATGAAGATAGGGGATAGACGGGTTCTTAACGGAAGAAGAAAGCCGCCTGATCAAAAGGACCTGCCAGGAGTTTCACCTGGCATTTGCCTTTAGTGATCACCAGAAGGGACGATTGGATGCAAAGCTGATCCCTCCGGTCAGAATCCACACGGTAGAACATGAGTGCTGGAATGACAAGGGGCCATCCTATGAATTTGGGATAGCAGGAGAAGTAACAGACCTCGTTCGAGCAAAGATGGACTCCTTCGTTGCGGAGCCTACGGCGTCACCATACGCAAACCGGTGGTTCCTCTTTCGGAAACCTAACAAGACACTAAGGTGGATTCAGGACCTGCAGAAGTTGAATGCGGTAACCATCCAAGATGCTGGCTCGCTACCTCAGGCTGACTTATTAGCAGAATCGCACGCCGGTCGGAGCATTTACTCCCTGATAGATCTGTACTCGGGGACAGGCTGTACACCGCTATGCACACCCCCGTAGGCCAGCTACAGATGCAAGTGACCCCTATGGGATTCACAAATGCGGTGGCCGAAGCGCAGCGCAGGATGCTCGCCGTGGCCGGGGACATGTTCCCGAAGAAATGTGAGCCTTACATCGATGACAATCCGATCAAAGTCGCTCAGGAGAAGGACGAGACGGAAGTCCAGCCAGGGATCCGAAGTTTTGTGTGGGACCACCTGCAGGACATCAAGGACTTACTCCGCCGGTTCCTCGTATACAACATTACGGCTAGTGGACCAAAGAGTATCCTAGCAGTAGCAGAGGTAACTATACTAGGATTTCGTTGCGGTGCTTACGACAGGAAACCGGATCCGGCAAAGACCGATAAGATATCACAGTGACCTACACCACTGCGCACGACGACGGAGGTAAGGGCATTCCTAGGCGTAGTTGGATTTTTGAGGATCTTCATTAAGAATTTCGCCAAGATTGCTGAGCCTATCCGGGCTATGATCAGGGAGGAAGGGACCATGGACTGGATGGAGGAGCGAGAAGGAGCTGTCCGAAAGCTCAAGGACATATTAACGTCCGAGACAGTTGCCCTGTCCACGCCCTGTTTTAATGACGAGGTCGGACGACCCTTCATCCTAGAGACGGATGGAGGACCTTTGGTCGTAGGAGGTGTGTTGATTCAAAGGGATGATGGAGGAAAAGAGAGGCCAATTAGGTTTGAAAGTAGAACCCTGAACTCCGCAGAGCGGCGGTACTCTCAGTTAAGGAGGTCCTAGCCATCTTGCACTGTCTTAAGACTTTTCAGGCCTACCTGTTTGGGAGGCGGTTCATCCTGAGGATCGATCCGACGAATGTTGCATGGGCCTTAAAGAATTACAGACCTATAGATCCGACAGTGGGGAGATGGGTAGGATTTATCTGGCAGTTCGATTATAAGATCGAACGGATTGCGGGAATTAGGAACAAGGCTGATGGGCTGAGCCGGGTCTGCATCACTCCCGAAGGGGTGGAGGATGCGGAGCCCATAGATGCGTTCCTCGAATACGAAGGAGGAACTCTTGCGGTGGATAATGAAATGATGAGCGAAGAATGCACATCTGAAGAACTATTGATCCAGACTTTGGAGAAGGCGGCACCTGCCGTAGTAGAAGAACTTAGAGAAGGACCAGTTACCACTCGAGGGCACTGAGAAGAAGAGGACTCGTGGGGAGCGATAGTGGGACCAAAAGAGGAGCTAATAGCAATGACAGTCGAAGGAGGCCGGGAAGCAGTGATGAGCTTAGTGGAATCTTGGGAAAGGAAAGAGTTACAATGGGTGGTAAATGAGATGCAGGAAGAAAAGGATGGGGGTAAGGAAGGAGAGGAGTTTTTCTACGTCCAATCATACGAAGGGCTCTTTCGGGAGATCGGGCTGTTGCTGGTAGGAAACAAACAACCGACAGAAGTGAGTATCAAAGCAAGAAAAGAAGTCGAAAGGTACGTCCTAAGGGGCGGACACTTGTTCCGAAGGGAGGAAGGTGCTATGCCTAGAAGGGTTGTATGCGGAAGATCTAAGCAAGTAGACGTTATCCAGGCAATGCACGATGGGTTAGCTGGAGGTCATCGGTCGTCCAAAGGGACGCTTGCAAAGATAACGCCACTCTATTATTGGTCAGGCATGGCAGGCATGGTCGCCATATACTGCCAGACTTGCCTTATTTGCCAAAAACGAAGCTCGGCGCGAGTCTTCGAGCCGCTTAGACCAACACGGGTGCTAGGGCCGGGACATCTGGTCCACCTCGACCTTGCGGTCATGCCTGTATCAACGGACGGGTACAAGTATATCCTGGATGCGCGAGACAACTTGAGTGGGTTCGTGGAGGCAGTCGCCCTCAAGAAGAAGACAGGGAGGAGTGTGGCAGACTGAATAGAAGATTTATACTTGACGCATCCGTTCGTCAGGAGGTTTATAGCAGACGATGGGACGAAATTTGTGAACCAAGAGGTATTGGGGATGCTTAAGAGACTCTGCGTACCAATCAAACTCATCGAGCCGTATCACCCTGAGGCCAATGCACCTGTGGAAAGGGGGCACCGAACCTTGAAGAACACGATTGCAAAGCTCGCAGCGGATCATCTGGGGAACTGGCCTAGGTATCTTAAGCAGGCTGTCTTTGCAGAGAATATGACCCCAAAAAGGACAACAGGATGTATCCCGACAGAGCTTTGGCACGGAAGAGAGATCGACTTTCCTGTGGAAGCCTTGGTACCTACCTGGAATAGGTTAGATGATGATCCGCGAATGACCACTGAAGAGTTAATTGAGGCAAGATGTCAACAAATCCTTAAAAATGAGGAGGTCATGGAAGACATCGCCAACCGGGTACTAGACAGCAGAATGAGGGACAAGACAAGGTGGGACCAGGTTAAGAATGTCAGAAAGGAGCCACTCCAAGTGGGAGAGATGGTATTGCTAAGGAACTCGACACTAGAAAGTACTTGGTCGGGACAACTGGGAAAGAGGTTTAAAGGCCCCTACCGGGTCGCCAAGCGGGTGGGACTGAACACCTTCGAACTGGAAGATTTGAATGGAACGGGATTGAAAGGGCCCTTCCCTGGGCAGCGATTGGTCAGGTTTCTGAGTCGGGACACTGTGGAACAGTGGCTTCAGGAGGCCGAGGATAAGGAAACTGAGGAGCCACAAGCTAAGGACTGACCACATCCTTGGCCACACTCTGGGTTGTCTCTGACCATATTCATGGGACTGTCATTTTTTTGGGGATTTTGGCTTGACTGGCTGGGGTTGAGAGGCGGCGTGACTTGGGGGTTTGCAATATCTGGCCGGTACGACAACGGGAAGGGATGCTGGGGCATTGTACCATAGTTTTCGGACGGGAAAAAAATGGGACCTTCACAAGCGGCGCATTCGCATGTGTAATAGGGGCATGGTGCGAAGACTATTGGGAGCTTTCTGGGAAAACGGGGAACTGCCTACCGGACTGGGGGAATGGGTGCATGAGGGGCTTTGCGGGTGTTGTTTTGTTATACAGGGTCTAAAAGAAAAAAAAGCAAGATGGAGTTCGGTGACGAAAATGACAGCGGGGCAATCAACAAGCCTACCGGAGGGGAGGAAGCAGGACCAAGCCAAGGAAGGAGGGGGGCAAAGAGAAAGTTGTACATAGGACTCGTGGGTGGGCCAGTGTTAGGCAGGGGTGGAAAGAAATGCCTGTGTAGGAAGCCCTCACCCCTCCGCAAGGGAGAAGGCATTGAAATCTCGTCTGACAGTGAGGGAGAGAAGAAAAGGGTAAATGTGGAAGAAGGAGGCAATGCAGAAATGAGAGATAAGATTCGGGTCTCTAACGAGGAAGGGGCCAACAAGGGCAAACGACGTGAGACTTGGCATGAGGAAAGCGAGGGGGGACAAGGTATGCGCGATGAACGTGAGGAGGACGAGGAGAAAAGGGAGAGTCCGCTTGAAGGACGAAGTGGTCACGATAGTTGCGAGGGGTATGGGACGGGGATAGAGACCCTTTTTACCTACGATCCGAAGAACCTTGGTGGTGGGTATAGCCCCATACAGATAGAGGACGAGGAGGACGAGGAGGAAGATGTGCGAGAAGTCGTAGAAATCAGCAGCGGGGATGAGAGGGATGAGATCTCAAGGCCTAGGGAAGAGGGGCGGCCTCCAATGCACCAGCCGGGCGACGGGGTTTTTAGATGGGAGGACGAGTTTGGGCCGACACCTAGTCATTGGTTTCAGCAATGGACTAATGTGATCAGGCACGAGTGGATTGTCAAGACTCGGGAACTCGCAAGGGCGGGGGTGGAAGCCATGCCACTGGATTTTTTTAACGAGGAAGAATTGCGGAAAATTGTGAGGATAAGGAGAGAAATCGAGACCTGCAGCCTGGGGGTTAGACAGCCCGCTGAGGAACAGGGTAGACGAGGAAGCAAGCAAGATGACGCACAAGACAACAGTAGGCATTAAAGGTTGATTGAGTGTTGGGCAAAAATCCTAGTTTTAATTCTCAATTGCAAAACATTGGAGCAAAATGTGTATAGTATGAGTGAGCCTGCAAAGGATGAGTGATGGAAGGGTCAGCTAAGACTGCGTCGTGACAAGATTAGAAGATAGCATATTGAGGCTACCTTTGGATGAGCTACCTTTGAAAGTGGGTACACAAGACAAGGACATGGGGCATGGGATGAGACCAGTTGGGAAGGGTGTATTGTGAAATTTGGATGGAATGAGGATTGTGCTTTTGAGGAAAGAAATTGTGAGTACGGATTGACGAGCAAGCAAAGGCATTGAATGTTGGTCAAGAGAGGTTAGGGAACCTATGGGTTAAGGGGCGTGAAGAACACTCCTTCCCTAGGAACCTAATCCAACTGAGTCATGAATAAGTCTGAGAAATAGCCTAAGCCTGAGTGATTAGGAAGAGTGAAAATGGAAGGGGCGCCCCTGTCTTTTGTTATGGATGAACGACCGGGTGAGCTAAGTGCTGCTTGGGGTCGCGAGCCCCAACTCGAGTACTAGATGCTAAGTCGGATGTACGCATGGATGGTACATAATTGAGAGAAATGGAAAAAAGGAAAACAGCACGCAAAACAAAACTGCGATGAGATGGCCACCTTCTAACCTCCGAGACATAAATGGGATCCGTAACCTCGAGGCCCACCCCCTCGGGCACTAACATTGAGAATGGAAAGGAATGGTCCTAACCAGGGTGTTCAACTTGAGAATGAAAAAGAATGGCCCTAACCAGGTGGTTCGACTTGAGAATGGAAAAGAATGGCCCTAACCAGGTTGCTCGACTTGAGAATGGATAAGAACGACCCTAACCAGGTTGTTCGGGAATGGCCCTTGACAAGGGTCATTCCTTTTGAAATAGGCACTGGGGTCCCCTGCATATTGGATTGAGAAAGGATTGATTGAGAATGTGTTGGAATGAGCAATAAGATGGAAAAGGGCCGGTGGGTCGGTCATTGAAATAGCCAATGGATGGATGGAAGAGAAGGAAAAGGGTCGGCGGGTCGGTCATTGAAATAGTCAATGGATGGATGGAAGAATGGAAAAGGCCAGTGGGTCGGTCATTGAAATAGCCAATGAGAGGAATGAAAGAGATGGAAAAGGCCGGTGGGTCGGCCGCTGAAATTGCCAAGGAGGCGGAAAAAAAATATGAATGAGAAGGACAGAATAAAAGAGGCGGAACCTTAAAGCCAAGAGGGGCAAGGACAGTTGGGACGGTCACAAAGATTGGGTGTTGAGGAATGAGAATTGAGGATTGGATGGACGGAAGGGTCAGCCTTGAGAAATGACTATTGAGAGAATGACCACCAGACCGGCCGTGTGGGTGGCCTTGTTGATGAGAGGCTGACGGACCAGTTATGAGAATCAGCCTTGGAAATAGCATTGGATTGAATGATTGAGGATTGAATATTGCATTGCATAGTCAGGGGACCCTAGGCAACTTGAAATGAGCTTGGAAATAGCCTTGAAATGGATTTTCTCTTTTTCTAGTCTTTGGCCTCAGCAGGAGGGGGATACCGGTGCTCGCACCGCGACCCCAAGACCTCTATCCCTGTAAGGGAAAAAGTCTCAGCGCGACCTGTTCCTCTTGTAAGAGGATGAGGGTTAAAGGACCAAGGCACCTACCGCTTGGATCGGTGCGGGACGTCCGGAATTGACCTCGACAACGAGCTCTAGTCGGGAAGTTCAAGTTGCACCTCGTGTTGAACGCCTAAACGTCAAAGGGTGAGGGAACCAAATGGGCGAGAGAGTCATTCTTTTTTTCTAGTCTTTTTTGTTCTCCCCAACCACACGCCATGCCGTTGAGGGGCGGCATGGCCGCTTGGAATAGACCACGGCGGCTCGCGTTAAGTTGAGCAGCATTGTCCAGAGGGAGGAGTTGGGCGTGGTACCGGGTGGAAGCCACAACCAACACGGGGCATTGACACCACCCCGCCGGAGCATTACAACCGCTTCGGGACTAATTGCGAGGTCTTCGTAACTGCACTCGTGGACTAATTGAGAGCCCCAACTCTCTTGAAAAGAAGAGGTCGGATCCAGAAAATCACCACTCGGGAGGAACGGTGCGCGAGGAATGCTCGTACGGCTAGACGAGGCCCTGAAAGGCTTGGATTGGACCTGCCTACCAGACGTGAGGAGGAACCTCAGTATTGGTGCTCGCCACGTAAGAGAAGAAAGGTCGGACCGAGTAGAAGGATGAGGCGTCGTCCGCTGGGGAGGAACTGATCACTCTTCTGTTTGTGAAGCGGATGGGCTTGTGCCCTTGGCTTGCGGTTGGTGGACCAAAGGTTTCGTGCCTCCGAGTGAGGACCAGTCGCGCGATGGGAACATCGCGTTTTGAGTGGGGGGAAGGTGTGCCATCTACCGAAGAAAAAGTGTGCAAAAGATAAGGATACCATGAGCATAAGGAGGGATGAGTAATTGACTTTGCGCAAGCTTGAGAAGAGGCCTGGTAAGATGTCAAGAAAAGAAGAATGGATGAGTAATTGACTTTGCGCAGGCTTGAGAAAATGCCTGGCAAGATGTCCAGAAGAGAAACGGGTGAGAAATTGACGTTGCATGAGCTTGAGAAAAGGCCTGGCAAACGACTTGTGTGATTGATTTGGCATGAGCCTGAAAATGGGCCGAGCAAGACAACTGGAAAAGAAAAGACTTGCATGATGGACTATGGATGGATCTGAGAAAAAGACTGGCAGGCTGGGAAACAAATGAGTATTTGGTTTGCATGAGTCTGAGAAAAAGGTCTGACAAGGTGTCCGAAAGAGAGATGCACAAGGGATGAACCGGACAGCTTGCATGAAAAAGTTAAAAATAAGCAAGGAACAAGAAAATGACAAAATAGTGATATGAATGCAAAATTGGTAGGACCTGAGGAAAGTCGGGCGAAAGGACCCGGGGGAGATGCATGAGGATTTGGCAAGGCCTGAACGTCGGGAAACGGTAAAGGGAAAATATGGATTGCACGGGCCAAAAAGTAGATTAATTTTGACGACTCTCAGAGCATTGAATGAGACAAATCCGAAATGTTTCTCAATGAAATGGGAAGACAGATTTGAGATTACGAAGCACTTAGGGGGAGTTGTGCCTGGACTCACTGATTCGAAGTGGGTATCACCACAGCAAAGGCGGCGGTTGTACTGGACGAACATCCCCCTTCCGGAGCAAATGCCTGACATTGAGTTGCATCCGAAAACTTGCCTACAATTTGTTATCAACAAAACCGAGGCATAAAATGTGAAAACCAATTGTGTTATGACAACAAATTGTAGCCCTGGGAATAAAGCCAGCATGCCATAAGTTAAGTGCATGAAGCAAGGAGAACTTCGTCTGCTTCATGTACTGAAGTTGAAAGAATTATGGGCTGCCCTGCTGAGTATACAGAGTTGACTGAAGAGGAAGTTTGCACCTCAATTGAGGGAAAGAAAAAGAGGCAGAGCTATGACAGAAATGAGCAACCTGGTCTAAGCTGTAGAATCTTCGACTCCCTCATACCCTCCTCCACCCCAAGAGGTGGAAGCTAAGGAAAAAATTGAGAAAGGAATGGGAAAAGAACGAAACGGACCCTGGCAAACTAACCATTCATAACACCTCACCTCCCTCTCTCATCTACTCCCTCCAAAACTCACTTACAAGAGATTGTTGCGCGATGAGGACATCGCGAAAGAGTGGGGGGAATGTGTCGGGACTGGTGAGTCCCGAATAACTTCCCATCACTCGAGAGACCGAATATGGACGATTTGTGCACAACAGAGAAATCCGAAGTAAGACGAGATAAAGGCTTAGGCTGCAGGAGGGAATAATGCCATAGGGCGAGAACCACAGGGGGAAAAGAACTAAGTGGCGGCCGGCGAGCGAGCACAAGAACAGCGGCACATAGAACATAGCAGGAGGCCAGGAGGGCCATCGGAATGCAATAAGACTAAGGCCAAAGGGCCCTTTGAACTAGCAATTGCAGCGCGACAGCAATAAGGGAATGAGGAAGTCAAGGGATGTGCGACCAGAAGTCGCGGGAAACCCAGAAATGAAGGGCCAACGTGGGGGGCCACCTACGAGAACCGTGGAACGGAGGCCCATGGCCAAAGAGATCGGCACGCACAAGGCGCAAGGAAAGACTAAGGAGAGGGGTCGCTATGGGGCGACAAGACGCCCAAGGGGCATGGGACACCTCGGGGAAAGGCACCCGGGGCCACGTAGGACTAAGCAAAAATAATGGCATCCGGGGCGAAAAGTGTTGGGGACCGCCGACACCTCGGGGAAAGGCACCCGGGGCCACGTAGGACTAACTAAAAATAATGGCATCCGGGGCGAAAAGTGTCGGGACCGCCGACAGGGCTAAGTGTCGGGGACCGCCGACGGGACTAAGTGTCGGGGACCGCTGACGGGACAAACTGTCGGGGACCACCGGCAGGACTAAGTGTTGGGAACCACCAACGGGACAAGCGACGGGAACATGTGAAAGTCCCACGAAGAAACGGCGGCAACGCATGAGGGAAAAATAATAAATGCAAGATGCACCGTCAAGATCGACATCTTGACGGCCAAGAATATTAGCGCCACTAGTGCAAGTACTAGTGGTGACAAACGGGAAGGCCAAAAGAAAAAGAAAAAGTAAAGAAAACTGAAGTGGGAGGCATGGGAGCAATCCGAAAAATTTCGGATCGGCCTCCCTCAAGAAAATAGAGTCAAGTAAGACCCCATGTGAAAAATAGCCCTCCGGGAGAAATTCGGAGTAGGAGGGACCA